AAAAAAAAAAAAAAAAAGAAGGCTGTGTCCCTGGTTTAGTAGGAGAGAAGGTGTGAGGCAAGCAAGAAGATGCCTCGGCTCCATACAGCAGGTCTGTACACAGGACCTGGCTCATGTGGTTTTAGTTAAGTTAGCTACAAATACAGGGTCTGCTCACATCTTTGCTTTGCACAGATGAGCCATAGTCGGCCAATTATCTGCCAAGCAGATAATTTCTCAGTCTGCTCACACCAGATGCTTCCAGCCAGGGAAGGTATTAGGGGAAAGGGCTTGAGGGCGGCAGTAAACTGGACAAGTTTTTCTGCCCAGCCTGGGCTGCCACCTGCAGGTCACTTGGGCTCCAACTATGTGGCTCCCTCTGCTGCTGGGTGCCTTGCTCTGGGCAGTGCTGTGGTTGCTCAGGGACCGGCAGAGCCTGCCTGCCAGCGATGCCTTCGTCTTCATCACCGGCTGTGACTCAGGCTTTGGGCGCCTTCTGGCACTGCAGCTGGACCAGAGAGGCTTCCGAGTCCTGGCCAGCTGCCTGACCCCTTCCGGGGCCGAGGACCTGCAGCGGGTGGCCTCCTCCCGCCTCCACACCACCCTGCTGGATATCACTGATCCCCAGAGCATCCAAAAGGCAGCCAAGTGGGTGGAAACACACGTTAAAGAAGCAGGTAAGTGTGGAAGACCACCAAGAATGTGGTGTGGGGTCTCCTGATCCCCACAGTGACCTCGGGAGTCACCTACAAGGGCTGTGGTAAGCTAAAGGGACTATTTGAGGAGGAGCAGTTTTCAGATGCTGCTGGAAAGAAAAGGGGCTGCAGGAGTGCCTCACCTACCCCCAGCATCCTTCTCATCTCCCCACAGGGCTTTTTGGTCTGGTGAATAATGCTGGTGTGGCTGGTATCATCGGACCCACACCATGGCTGACCCGGGATGATTTCCAGCGGGTGCTGAATGTGAACACAATGGGTCCCATCGGGGTCACCCTTGCCCTGCTGCCCCTCCTGCAGCAAGCCCGGGGTCGGGTGATCAACATCACCAGCGTCCTGGGTCGCCTGGCAGCCAATGGTGGGGGTTACTGTGTCTCCAAATTTGGCCTGGAGGCCTTCTCTGACAGCCTGAGGTGAGGCGTACAGGGCTCTGAGTTCCAAGAGTAAGGCAGCCCACTCAACAAACCTGGGCCAGCAGAGATGGTTAAGATACAGTACAGTAGAATACTTAAGAGACAGTTTGGGGCTAGACTTCATGGGTTCAAACCCCACCCTTATGTAAGCTTTGTGACCATAAGTAGATTACTTCTCTTTACCCATTTTTAACGCATGTGTTAAACCGGGACGAGAAAACCTGCCTCATGGGTATTGTAAGGTAAGTACATATAAGGACCCAATAGTGCCTGACACATAGTAAATGCTCAAAAAAGCCTGCTGTCATAACTGTTAGTTGGGAAACAAACTACTATTAATAGTAGCTATTACAATAAGCTGGTAACTTATATGACATTTTCTCATATAATTCTCCCAACAACCCTATAAGGGTTAATTTGCATAAAGGTTAAGGTATTCATACATAATTAGATAGTGGAAGCACTAGGACTTAACCCCAGGTTTGCCTGCCCACAGGCCATTACATCCTCCTGCTCGAGATCTGCTCATGAGGCTGGATATAGAGTCTTGCTCTGTTGCCCCGGGCTGGAGTGCAATGGCGCGATCTCGGCTCATCGCAACCTCCGCCTCCTAGGTTCAGGCAATTCTCCTGCCTCAGCCTCCTGAGTAGCTGGGATTACAGGCACGTGCCACCATGCCCAGCTAATTTTTTGTATTTTTAGTAGAGACGGGGTTTCACCATGTTGACCAGGATGGTCTCGATCTCTTGACCTCGTGATCCACCCGCCTCGGCCTCCCAAAGTGCTGGGATTACAGGCTTGAGCCACCGCGCCCGGCCAATTTTTGTATTTTTAATAGAGATGGGGCTTCACTATGTTGGCCAGGCTGGTCTCGAACTCCTGACCTCATGATCCGCCCAGCTCAGTCTCCCAAAGTCCTGGGATTACAAGTGTGAGCCACCGCGCCCAGCCTTGCCTCTCATCTTCAAACAATAAGGTTCAAAGTTCCATGGGAGCACAAAGACATGATAACGACCACAGGGGAGCAGGGCCTGAGTTCTTAGCAGAAGTACAAGGCGCCTAAGCTTAGTCTACCTTCTAAGGAAGCCTGCCTTTGTCAAGATTCAGATTTTAACAAAGGCAGGCTTCCTTAGAAGGTAGAAAATAATCTGAATGTCTCCTTTGTCCCTATCTCTGAGCCTTAATTTTCCAGGCAGCATCATGGAACACATATTTTGCGTGTGTGTGTCTTGAGACAGGTCTTGCTCCCACCCAGGATGGAGTACAGTGGCAGTCATGGCTCACTGCAGCTTCAAACTCCTAGGCTCAAGCGACTCAAGCGATACTCCCGCCTCAGCCTCCTGGGTAGCTGAGACCACAAGCGCACGCCAGCGTGCCTGGCTAGTAGTTTTTTACAGATGGGGTCTTGTGGTGGTGACCAGACTTGCCTCAAACTCCTGACCTCAAGCAATGCTTCTGCTTGGGCCTCCCAAAGGGAGGGAAGATTACAGGCGTGAGCCACTGCATACTGGAACACAAACTTTATACTTGGATTTTTTTTTCTCCCCTCCCCTCCTGCTCCTTACCTATACTTAGATTTCTACATCTGGAGGGTAGATGTAGAAAATTAAGACCAGGGCCATGGGATGTAGCCCCACTTTCCCCATCAGCTTACCCTCCAGCGAATACCAGACTATGCCTCCAATATCCAGCACTCAGGACTTAACCCTGTTTTTTGGGAGCAAGGGAATGGGGTTCCTGTAGGTCAGAAATTGGCAAACTCAGTTGTCAAGCCAGATCCGGCCGGCTGCCTACAAGCTGATAACGGATTTTAGATTTTGAAATGGTTATACTGTAAACTGTTATATAAGAACCTGATAATATGATTAATTTTGTTTCTTGGCCTGCTATGCTTAAAGTATTACCTCTCTGGCCCTTTAAGAAAAAATGTGCTGACCCCCGCTCTAGATTAAAGAAAACAAACTTCGAAAATACTTTCCTCCCTCTACCCCACTTAGCCCTTGTCCCAGGGCAGCAGGCATCTCCGTCAAAACTCTTGTCCCTGTTCTGTGGTAACGTTCTCCTCCCCAACCCATGTCCCTCAAAGTCTCCTCCCTATAGGGCAAGAACCCAGCAGCTTCCCTCTGCCCCCACTCTAGACGGGATGTGGCTCATTTTGGGATACGCGTCTCCATCGTGGAGCCTGGCTTCTTCCGAACCCCTGTGACCAACCTGGAGAGTCTGGAGAAAACCCTGCAGGCCTGCTGGGCTCGGTTACCTCCTGCCACACAGGCCCACTATGGGGGGACCTTCCTCGCCAAGTGTGAGTAGCCAAGCCCACACAGGGGCACATTAAGGGAAGTGAGAGCACCAGAAAGGCCAGTCCCACATAAACCTGCTGGGAGGTGGGTGGGGCACCCAGGGCAGGGTTGAGGGTGAACAGGATGCCACAAGAGTGCCCAGGCCGTGTGGAACCTGCCCATTCTCCACCCTGAGGAAGGGACTGAGGGCAACAAGCCCTGGGCCCCAAAAGACAGTACCTAAGATGGGCTGGAGTTGGGGAGGGAAACCGACTGCAACCACCTATGGCGCTGCAGACCTCAAAGTGCAAGAGCGCATCATGAACCTGATCTGCGACCCGGACCTCACCAAGGTGAGCAGATGCCTGGAGCATGCCCTGACTGCTCGACACCCCCGAACCCGCTACAGCCCAGGCTGGGATGCCAAGCTGCTCTGGCTGCCTGCCTCCTACCTGCCAGCCAGCCTGGTGGATGCTGTGCTCACCTGGGTCCTTCCCAAGCCTGCCCAAGCAGTCCACTGAATCCAGCCTTCCAGCAAGATTGTTTTTCAAGGGCAAGGACTTTATTTCTGCCCTCACCCTGGTACTGCCTGGTGCCTGTCACAAAATAACCACTAACAAGTGTGTTGTTTGAAAAATAAAAAGGTGGGCAGAAACGAAGGTGCCCAGTGGAAGGCTGATCCCATTTAAGTGCTAACTACTCCAACACGCTCGCCGTCTCTCGTCAGTTCAGTGCCTGCAAAATAGCTAACACCCACAGGGGGGCGCCAGGGAACTGCCTCACATCTACAACTGCACCTCGAGGAGGGGCCATCAGAGGGCACTTTGATACGTTTTCCTTATTTTCTAAAGGGGAGTAAGGTTGCAGTTCAGGGTCTGTACTGGGAATGGCCTTTATATTTCTTGAGGGAGAAGAGCAAGTGATGAAGAGGGATGGGGGTCAGGCTGGGTGGCTTCCATGGGAAAAAAGGCAATATTCACATAAATTCTCTTGCTAAGGAAGAGACTGACCATACAGGTGTCAAGGCAACTTATCACCACTTTGAAAGGAGCTGGATCCCTGGAGGACTGGCCAGGACAGAAGGCGCTAGGCCCTTAGTGGTGCACAAAAGGCCAGGAAGATGTCCAAGGTAGCTGTGGGCTGGGCTCTCCCAGGTAGGACCTTTCTGGGGAGCTGCTTTGACTTATGCAGCAGATGGCTTCGTGAATGTTCGGAATGCGCCCGGCGGCACAAGACTAGGGGGCAGGAAGCACCACAGTCTCTGGATCGCCACCTCTCCCACTGCCTGCCCAACCAGCACCTTCAGCAAAGTCCTTTCCCAAAAGCCCACACAATACACCTTCCCGAAGTACACAGAGGACAGGGGACGCGGGTAAGGAAAGGAAGGAGTCAAGCATCTCTCTAAGACAAACTCAGACCATCTCTCTCTTCGGTCTGAAAAAATAATCCGTTTAATTGAAAAACCCGGAGGATACTACACTCCCCAAGACGAAGCGCGTGAAGAGTCCAGACCCCTACATCACCTCGTAGCCACTTCTGATACTCTTCACGAGGCAGCAGGCAAAGACAATTCCCAAGACCTAGAAAGAAAGATGGGGACAGGAGTGGAGAGGAGTCCGAAGGGCAAGCTACCCCACACCCATCCAAGAGACCCCAAACACACGCCCAGGCCAGTACCTCCTGGTCAGCACCCTTCCCGCTGCCCCTACTCCAGGCACCCGGGACGGAGATCCAGCCCCTGCTCAGGGTTCTCTCTCACCTCGACAAAAGCAATTCCGAGGGCTGCTGCAGCCACCACCAGCACGTTTTTCCTCAGCCAGCCCCCAATCTTCTCCACACAGCCCTGAAGGGTGGCAGGCACGCAGGGCAAAAGCACGATCAGAAACTTCCCACCGCATCCCCCCTCCCCTGGTCCATCAGTCTCTTCCCTGCCCCTGGACCTTTCACCCCACCCTATCACTTCCAGATCCCCTCCCCATCCCTGAGCCTGTCCACCTCCATCCTAGGTCTCTCTTGCCTCCTAAAACATTTCCCAGATTTCCCAAGTCCCATACACAGTCTTTTCCCTACCTCCTTATGGATCTGCTTCTCAGTGAAATTAATCCCACAGCCCACAGTGACATTAACGCAGCAGGAGTCAGGGACTCGGTTCTTCGACATGGAAGGGATTTTCTCCCAATCTGTGTAGTTAGCAGCCCCACAGCACTTAAACTGGGGAAGGGAAGAAATACAGAGAAGGTTAAGTGAACCTCCATCTTCAATATGGAGATGAGAATTCTTTTTTATTTTTTGAGACAGAGACTTGCTCTGTCGCCCAGGCTGGAGTTCAGTGGCGCGATCTCAGCTCACTGCAACCTCTGCCTCCCAGGTTCAAGCGATTCTCCTGCCTCAGCCTCCAGAGTACCTGGGATTACAGGTGCACGCCACCACACCCGGCTAATTTTTGTATTTTTATTAGAGACAGGTTTCACCATGTTGGCCAGGCTGGTCTTGAACTCCTGACCTCAGGTGATCCACCCACCTTGGCCTCCCAAAGTACTGAGATTACAAGCGTGAGCTAACGCGCCCGGCCTTGGAGATGAGAATTCTCCATTCCCACCACCCCTGCTCCCAATAACCCCACTCACATCTGTCTGCATCCTGTCCAGAATCGAAGCAGTGTGGTTGTTTTTTGGGTAATTCTCCATCTGCTGCCGGAAGTTGTTATTAAACTCTGACATTACCTGAGAGTACGTAAGGAGCATTGTTGGAGTCTGAATTCAAGCACCTGGGTCCCCGCCAGGCTGAGGCAGGCCCTTCCCGTTATTTCCTGCTTACCTTATCTCTAAACACATAGCCAGCAATGGCTGCGGCCACCTCCACCAGCATGATAAGAGACAGGAAGATGGCAAACTGCAGGAGTAAAGGACAGGAATCAGGTTTGGAGTCTATGCATTACAGGGCCCCGTTCCGGCCCACCCAGTCCCTGGACACACAAACGTCTTCCTCACCCACCTACCCACCTCACCTCACCCACCTTACTGAGCCCCAACCAAGCTGCCTGGCAGTCCCAGACCACCCATGCTGGTCCCACTCCCCGCCACTCACCGTGATCATAAGACAGTAGTTCTCCTTGCAGGCCCCGCAGCAGCCCACAAAGGCCACCAAGAAGAGGAAGACACCCACTGCAATGATGACCACAGGCAACAGGGAGCCAGGGGTAGCCCCCTGGATTATGGTCTGACTCAGGACGAGCTGTGCCCCGACACCCACAGCAATGAGTCCCACTGCACAGGCCTAAGAGAAAGGCAGGCGAGGATCAGGCCTGACCCACAACACAGTGGCCCTCCATGGTGGAGGATGGGGGTACACCCAGGACACAGACTTGACCCTTACCAGAGGAGAGATTCTCACACCTCCAGTGAACTTTTTTGGCTGTGGGGAGGGGGGATGACCCATCCTTGCCTAGCCCCAGCTCCTCTGACCCCCTCCAGGCTCTTTAATCAGGGACTTGACCAAATTCAAAGGCTTCCCAGAAAGCCTTGATCCCCCAAGGCGCATGTTTCTAACCTAGAATAAGGCTTTCTACGGGCCTCAAGGGGTTCCCAGCTCAGTTCTCTCCCAGAACTGCCCCCCTCGCTATCCTCCAGTGCACACCCCATGCGCCGTCAGCTGTAACTAAGGTTCCTCTGGCCAGTTAGGCCAAGAGAAGGGAAGAGGAAAAGGGGGAAAGAGTGATGTGCCCCTCCCTAGACAGAGCCCTTCCTCACCCCCAAGCGCTGGGAGGAGGGAAAGGGAGGGAAGGACTGGAGAGGGATGGGGCTGTGGGTGAGGAAGAGAGGGGAGAAGGGAGAGAAGGGAGAGAAGAGAAGCCCCGTGGCGATAACATCAGGCGGTTGGCTGGTTGCCCCACTCACTGCCCCATATCACAAGTGGTTGGGTCACCAGACAGGAAAGGCCAGGAGGGGTGGGGGTAGGGGTTGGGGTTGCTGCACCCCAGGAGGGCCATTCTCTGTGGAAACCAGCCTCAGGTGTCCAGGAAAGCTGGAGGAGGGAGTGGCCGCGCTGTCTTCCCCTGGCTTTCCTTCCACTCCAGCTGCCTTCATTCTTACTCTCTCAGCCCTCGCCACTGTGCAGCCAGGTCTCCCCGCACCCTGCCAGAGCGCCCCCCAGGACCCCTCGCCACTCACGCAAAAGGCCAGCAGGAGGACGTAGAGCAAGAACTTCACACATTTCATTCCTCCTTCCACCGCCATGGCTGCCGGGCCTGGGGCAGAGGGGAGGGCGGGGGGATTAACACCGGCCGAGGAGGGACCTCGGCTTCCGCGCTCCCCGCCGGCCCTCGAGGGCTTCCCTGCACGGCCCCGATTCCCGGCCCCTCCCACCCGGAAACCCGCGGTCGGATCCACGTCTCCCAGCCCCCTCTCCACCGCGGGAGAGGCGTGGGGGCGACGGCCGCGAAGCCCGGACCCCGCCCCGCCGCCCGTGGGGCCCAGGACAGATACGAGGACGCCGGCAGGGGCTCGAGTCAGACGCCGACCCTGGGCCCGCCAGCCTCCCGGCGTCAGACACCCCCTCCCCGCCCAACCAGTCCGGACAAACGGTCTTCAGCCCAGTCCCGACCCCCACCCCAGCCCCTTTCCCCTGGGATCCAACCTCTCCGCCCACTAAAATAAAGTGCGGCCGGCACCCCCGCCACACCCTGCCCGGGCCCTGGGAACTTCGAAGCAAAGTTGCTCGAGAGAGGCTGGAGAGCACCGGGCAGGTCTCCTCGGGCCTGGGGCCAGCCCTGGAGGGGGGGAGCGCCGGTGGTCTCCGCCAGCCCGCGCCCAAGTCCGCCGGGGCCCCCGGCCTCACCTGGGATCCCCAAGGCTGCGCGCTCCTCTCCCGCCGCGGCGCCGGGGCTCTCTAGCTGCGCCCCCCGGCTCCGGCCCCGCCTGCCGCGCGGCCCCGCCCCGGGCTCCAGCCACGGTCCCCTCCCCCGCCGGGTGGCCGCCGACCTCCCTCATGTGACGCGGGAACAGCTGAGGTCTGAGTCACTGGGGCCGGCGCGGGGTGGGCCGAGCCCCCCGCCCAGCCAGGGCCACGTGGCCCCTACCCGGAAGACAGCGCCCACCCTCGCAAAGGGAAAGCCGCAAGGGCAAGACCTCGAGGCGCCTGGGGCGCCCCCTCCGGCGCCCCCACCTCCGCGCCGACTCGGAGTAGGAGAGCGGGGCGGAGCGCGGCCTGGGTCACTCTGGTTCAGAGAAGCGGAGGAGGTGGGTGAGAGTCACCATCCTTCTCCCACAGCCCAGCTCTCTCCTCTGGCTCCAACTCAGGGCGAGCCCCTCCCCATCCGACCCTGCAGACCGCTGTGGTCTGCCTGGGGTCGGGTGGGGCCAGAACAAGCACTTCCAGAAAGTCCCTGGCCTCACATCGTGGGTGTCTCCCAACATGCTAGAGCATTCTAGAGTGGGGGTTTCTGGCCACCCTCCATTAGCACAGCTTCTCCATTTTCCAGGGCTCCTGGTCTGAGCAAAGGGGAGGAAACCCTTCCTCGAAGCCACGGTCCCCAGTCAATCAAGACACGTCCGCGTCGGGTCCCGCCCTCTGGGGGAGGATTGACAAGGTCTGCGCTCCCAATCCCCGGGACAGCTCCTGCATCCGCCTGCTATGGCGTGAGCTTGCGGGAAGACACGAAGGCGGGAGAGGCTTATGTCCTCTGGATTTCCCCGTCTTATCCCAGAAGACAAAGCCAGGTGAGGGCTGGAAGCGGGCTAGGAGGGCCAAGCAGCCTCCCTCCCTTGTGTGCCAGGGGTTGTCCCCAGAAGGAGCTGATCTGAACAGACCAGAGGGTAGGACCGGCCGTCACACCCCCACACTCCAGCCTCGGCCCCACTCCTTGGGCTCTTAGAGTCCTGCCTCAAGAACCACTTCCTGAGTCCTGTATGTATGTATCCAAAGTCTTGGTTTATGTGTGTACACAAAGAAAGAAAGAAACCACTAGAGCAAAAGGAAGGAGATCTGGGCTGGGCTAAGAAGCAGCTTCCAGGATCACTGCCTTCCCGCGGGACACACCAAGCCCATTCCCGACCTTGCTGTCCCTGGCCATGGCGGGCAGGCTGTGGAGGAGGAGCGAAGAGCTGAAGAAAGGAGTATTCAGGTTCCTCATTGTGCTGCCACTAGATGCCAGGCATGTGCCAGGCACGGGGGCTGCAAGGAGAGGAAGACAGTGGCCCTGCCCTCTGCCAGCAGGCAGAACCAAGTTCTGGCCATACTGAAGAAAGGCAGAAGCCTGCGGCGGCAGCTGGTTAAGCTCAAAGGGAGGGACGATAGGAGAATGGATCTCACGGAGCAGGGGGGTGTGCTCAAGGTGACCTTGGAGAATAAAGGCGAGAGCTCCAGGGACAGGGAAGCAGTTAACTGTGGGGAAAAAAGGAGCATTTTTTAAAGATTATGACAGCTTGGGGTTGGCTGGCTCGAAGTGCTTGGGAAGGATGTGGTGAGATGTGTTGAAGGTGGTCTGAAAATCAAGATTGAGAGACTTTAGATACGTAACAGCCAACTGCAATGCTTGGCTCCTTCACTGAATGGTTGTCTGAACAAACCAGCTGTGAAAGACATTTTGGGACATATGAATATGGACTGAGAATTAGACATAAGAAAATTATTTTGTGAACTGTTATCATGGTTAACAAAACGGGCATATCATGATATGATTATGTCTACAAGTTACTCTAGTTTTTCTTGTTTTTCTTTATTTTTTTTTTAATTCTTTATCAGCCAGTGCATTTGTTTACAGGAAAGGGGTCCCGATCCAGACCCCAAGAGAGGGTTCTTGGATCTCATGCAAGAAAGAATTCAGGGCAAGTCACAGTGCAAAGTAAAAGCAAATTTATTAAGAAAGTAGGCCGGGGGGCCGGGCGCGGTGGCTCAAGCCTGTAATCCCAGCACTTTGGGAGGCTGAGGCGGGCGGATCACAAGGTCAAGAGATCAAGACCATCCTGGTCAACATGGTGAAACCCCGTCTCTACTAAAGCTACAAAAAATTAGCTGGGCATGGTGGCGCGTGCCTGTAATCCCAGCTACTCAGGAGGCTGAGGCAGGAGAATTGCCTGAACCCAGGAGGCGGAGGTTGCGGTGAGCCGAGATCGCGCCATTGCACTCCAGCCTGGGTAACATGAGTGAAACTCCGCCTCAAAAAAAAAAAAAAAGAAAGTAGGCCGGGCCTGGTGGCTCACGCCTGTAATCCTAGCACTTTGGGAGGCAGAGGTGGGTGGATCACCTGAGATCAGGAGTTCAAGACCAGCCTGATCATCATGGTGAAACTCCATCTTAATTAAAAAAAAAAGAGAGAGAGAAAGAAAGAAAATAAAGCGGTGACACAAAATTAGCCGAGTGTGGTGGCAGGCATCTGTAATCCCAGCTACTGGAGAGGCTGAGGCAGGAGAATCATTTGAACTTGGGAGACAGAGGTTGCAGAGAGCCAAGATCGCACCACTGCACTCCAGCCTGGGAGACAGAGCAAGACTCTGTCTCAAGAGAAAAAGAAAAAAGAAAGTAAAGTGGTGAAGGGCCGGCACAGTGGCTCTTGCCTGTAATCCCAGCACTTTGGGAGGCCAAGGCGGGATTGGCCTCCTGAGGTCAGGAGTTCAAGACCAGCCTGACCAACATGGAGAAACTCCATCTCTACTGAAAATACAAAAATTAGCCAGGCCTGGTGGTGCATGCCTGTAATCCCAGCCACTCAGGAGGCTGAGGCAGGAGAATCGCTTGAACCCAGGAGGCAGAGGTTGCCATGAACTGAGATCATACCATTGCACTCCAGCCTGGGCAACAAGAGCGAAACTCCGTCTCAAAAAAAATAAAAAAATAAATAAGTGAAATGGTGAAAGAACACCTGCTCCATAGACAGAGTAGGATGTTCCTGAAAGTAAGAGGAGGGGCCAGGCATGGTGGCTCACTACGCCAAGGCAGGTGGATCACCTGAGGTCAGGAGTTCAAGACCAGCCTGGTGGTCAACATGGCGAAACCCCGTTTCTATTAAATATACAAAAAGTAGCCAGGTATAGTGGTGCATGCCTGTGGTCCCAGTTACTCAGGAGGCTGGGCAGGAGAATCACTTGCACCCAGGAGACAGAGGTTGCAGTGAGCAGAGATGTGTCGTGGCACTCCAACCTTGGCAATGAGAGTGAAACTCCATCTCAAAAAAAAAGAGGAGGGGGGGAACACATCCACCCTAGGTGCAATGCTTGTATATACGGAGAGATATGCTCTGCTACAAGGGTTTGTGATAAAGGATTAATTTTCTTAATTACTATATTTTATAAGAATCGATATTATCTGTTTATTATTATTGTTAATTTGTTCCCTTAACCATAAACGTCTGGAAGCTAAAAATGCCTAACTTTCTGAGAATGCATCCCAGCAAGTCCCAGCCCTCACTCAAAATGGAGTCACTCTGGATCAAACACTTCTGACACATTGATCTAACCCAGTGAAAGGCAGTCTTAGGATTTGAGCCCAGATCTCTGGGGGAGTTCCAAAGCCTGTGCTTTTTTCCCCTCATTCTAGGAGGTCAAGAGAAGAGAGAACTTTTTTTTTTTTTGAGACAGAGTCTCGATCTGTTGCCCAGGCTGGAGTGCAGTGGCACGATCTCAGCTCACTTCAACCTCCTTCTGGGTTCAAGTGGTTCTCTTGCCTCAGTCTCCCAAGTAGCTGGGACTACAGGCGTGCACCATGACACTGGCTACTTTTTTTTTTTTTTTTTTGAGATGGAGTCTTGCTCTGTCATCCAGGCTGGAGTGCAGTGGCATGATCTTGGCTCACTGCAACCTCCACCTCCTAGGTTCAAGCGATTCTCCTGCCTCAGCCTCCTGAGTAGCTGGAACTACAGGCACTTACCACCACGACCGGCTAATTTTTTTGTATTTTTAGTAGAAACGGGGTTTCACCGTATTAGCCAGGATGGTTTCGATCTCTTGACCTTGTGATCTGCCTGCCTTGGCCTCCCAAAGTGCTGGGATTACAGGCGTGAGCCATCACACCTGGCCTAATTTTTGTATTTTTAGTACAGATGGGGTTTCACAATGTTGGCCGGGCTGGTCTCAAACTCCTGACCTCAAGTGATCCACCCACCTTGGCCTCCCAAAGTGCTGGGATTATAGGCTTGAGCCACCGTGCCCAGCTGAGAAAAGAGACCTTTGACAGGAGTGGCTTACACCTGTAATCCCAGCATTTTGAGAGGCCAAGGCAGGCAGACCACTTGAGCTCAGGAGTTTGAGACCAGCCTGGGCAACATGACAAAACCCCATTTCTACCAAAAAAAAAAAAAATTAGCTGGGCTTGGTGGTGAGCACCTGTAGTCCCAGCTACTCTAGAGGCTGAAGTGGGAGGATCACTTGAGCCCAGGAGGTGGAAGTTGCAGTGAGCTGTGATCACACCACTGTACTCCAGCCTGGGCAACAAAGCAAGACTCTTTCTTAATAAATAAATAATACAGGAAGAGGGAACTCTGCCAAACAGTGTAGAGAGGGCAATTTGGGTGAAAAGCAAGAGGCCATTGGATGGGGTGCTTTCTCTGGAGCAGTGTCAGGAGCACCTGCTGGGGCCCCAGAGTAAGGGGAGGAAGTAGAGACATCCAGGTGAGTAGAGGGAGAGCTGAGGTGAAGGTCAGGAGAATGGGGCCCTCCTAGAGGAACACCAGGGGAAGGGGCTGAAAGCAAGCTGTAGCAAGTGCAGAGTGATAACAGCAACTTGGTAAAGCAACAGGGCAAGAAAGGATAGGGCCAGGGAAACCCAGAGAACAAGCCTGTGTGGAGCTTGAAGTGAAAGGGGAAGGAAGGACGGCAAGTAAATAGCCCACTCTGAGTCAAATTCATAGACACAGAGAGTGAAACGGTAATTGCCAGGGATGGGGACAAGCAGCATGGGGAGTTAGTGTTTAATGGTTACAGAGTTTCAGTTTAGAAAGATGAAAATGTGGCCGGGCCCAGTGGCTCACGCCTGTAATCCCAACACTTTGGGAGGCTGAGGCCGGTGGATCACCTGAGGTCGGGAGTTCAAGACCAGCCTGACCAACATGGAGAAACCCGTCTCTACTAAAAATACAAAATTCTAGCCTGGCCAATACGGTGAAACCCTGTCTCTACTAAAAATACAAAAATTATCCAGGCGTGGTGGAGTGCACCTATAGTCCCAGCTACTTGGGAGGCTGAGGCAAGAGAATTGCTTGAACCCAGGAGGCAGAGAGTGCAGTGAGCCAAGATCACGCCACTGCACTCCTGTCTGGGCAACAGAGCAAGACTCTGTCTCGAAATAAATAAATAAATAATATACAATATTAGCCAGGCATGGTGGTGCATGCCTGTAATCCCAGGTACTCAGGAGGCTGAGGCAGGAGAATCTCTTGAACCCAGGAGGCAGAGGTTGTGATGAGCCAAGATCGCACCATTGCACTCCAGCCTGGGTGACAAGAGCAAAAAAAAGATGAAAATGTTGTCCAGGTAAGATGGTTCATGCCTGTAACCCCAGCACTTTGTGAGGCTGAGGCCAGCAGATCACCTGAGGTCAGGAGTTCGAAACCAACCTGGCTAACATGGTGAAACCCCAACTCTACTAAAAATATAAAAAAGCCAGGTGTGGTGGCACGGGCCTGTAGTCCCAGCTACTGTGGAGGCTGAGCCAGGAGAATTGCTTGAACCCAGGAGGTGGAGGTTGCAGTGAGCCAAGATCATACCACTGCATTCCAGCCTGGGCAACATAGTGAGACTCTGTCTCTAAAAAAATTGAAAGAAAGGCCGGGCGCGGTGGCTCAAGCCTGTAATCCCAGCACTTTGGGAGGCTGAGGCGGGTGGATCACGAGGTCAAGAGATCGAGACCATCCTGGTCAACATGGTGAAACTCCGTCTCTACTAAAAATACAAAAAATTAGCTGGGCATGGTGGTGCGTGCCTGTAATCCCGGCTACTCAGCCTGAGGCAGGAGAATTGCCTGAACCCAGGAGGCAGAGGTTGCGGTGAGCCGAGATCGCGCCATTGCACTCCAGCCTGGGTAACATGAGTGAAACTCCGTCTAAAAAAAAAAAAAAAATGAAAGAAAGATGAAAATGTTGAGGTGCACAGTGCTGATGGTTGCACAACAATGTGTATGTATGTATTCAGTGTCCCTGAATTTCATGTTATACATATTTTACTACACACACACACACACACACACACACACACACACACACAGAGAATGGTTCATTTCCACAGCCTGGAAAGTTGACACAGAGCCCCATGTGTTTGCTGGGCTGCAGGATAGGGGGGCCTCTTAGTGGAAAGTGGCTGGCCTCAGACCTAGGCCTTACATCCACATCCTTCAGACCCTCCAGCACCTGCTCCAAGTGCCTGACATCCTGATATGCCACCAAGCCATCCCAGCTGGCCCAGGCTGCTGCCCCTTCGTTGCCTGGCACCAGCTGGTGGTAGGTGAGCTGGGGCAGGGACCCTTGCCTCTGCACACCAAGCAAACCCAAGTTGCCCTCCAGCCAGCTTCACCACACCTCTACCCAGGGCCAGCAGCAGAGCATGGGGGTCACAGATGTCTCAAGCAAAGGTTCAGCTTTCTGAGAGCATGTAGTCATCAGCCAGACCCAGTGCCAGGCACAGCGCTTGTAGCCAGCACCCA